AAAGGAAGAAGGAAGAAAAAGGAAGGAAGAGAGGGAGGGAAGGGAAGGGGAGGAGAGGGAGAAAGAGTTGGGGGAGAGAAAGTGTGAAGGAGGAGGGAGGGAGAGAGTGTGAGGGAGAGGGAGGGGAGGGAAGGGGAGGAGAGGAGAGAAGAGAAAAAAGAAAAGAAAGGAAGAAGGAAGAAAAAGGAAGGAAGAGAGGGAGGGAAGGGAAGGGAAGGAAAAAAGAAAAGAAAGGAAAAAGGAAAGGAAAGGATAAAAGTGCATATAAGAGCAAAAGGCCAAGACAGTCCTGAAGGAGACAGATAAGACAGAGAACTTGTCCCTGTCTCCAGATACAAAAACTTACTATAAAGCCCTAAAAATTAAGACAACTTGGTATTTTTGGAAATACAAGCAGAGATAAATAGGACAGAAAAAAAATCCCAGAAACAGGTTCACCCATTCATAGAACCCTTGACATATTAGAAAGGTGGCAGAACAAATTAAAAGAAACCATTTAATAAATAACGCTGGAATGAATCATGTCATAAAGAAAAAAATGAGTCCCTATCTCACAAAATTTAATTCCAAATGGAGCAAAGAGTTAAAATGAAAAGGTAGGATTAGAGATATAGCTCAATGACACAGAGCTTGCCTAGCATGTGAGAGGCCCTTGGTTTGGTCCTCCAGCACCACAAAAAGGAAGGGAGGGAGGGAGGGAAGGGGAGAAGAAGGAATTTTTTTGTGTGTATGTGGTGCTGGGGTTTGAAGGCAGGCCCTCACATTTGCTAGGTGGGCACTTTACTAATTGAGCCACTCCACCAACCCAGGAAGGAAATTTTAAAATTTTTAAAAAGTGAAGGAAACTTAAGACCAAGGATATAATACATTAGTAATCAAGCAAATGAAAATGAAAACAATGAATTGAATATAATTTTACTCCTACTCGACTGGCAAATTTAAAGTTCTGAAAACACCAAGTATTGGCAAAAGTGTAAACTCATACAACCATTTTTTAAAAACAATGTAGCATTATCTTATGAAGTTTAACACCCATAAACCCTTTAATCTAGTAATTCTACCCTAAATATATTCCCTAAAGAAATTCTTAACATGTACACCAGAAGACATGTTACAAAATAATCATATCCTCATTTGTTATATAACTAGAAAAATGCTGGAGAAAACTCAAGTGTCCACTATCAGGAAAATAGGCACATAAACTATAGAATATGCACAATGTGATGTTATATATCAGTGAAGTAATGAACTAATGCTACATGACGCAACTTGGTGGAATCTTAGAAACATAACCATGAGTTAGTGAAGCTCATTACAAAAATCTAAAATAGCCTGAAACTGTGTCATAAAGCTCAGAAATAAACAACATGAATCATATTGTATACAAATACATATATATGTACTATGATTTTTAAAGGAATAGGCATATAGTATAATAGATATGAAATTATACTTTCTAAATCCAGGAAAGATAATAATTAACACAAACTTCAAGTCGGTGGCTAACCTTAGGAAGACGGAATGAGGAGTAACACACCAAAGTCAGGGTCTTTACATGAATCACAGATTCATGAGTGCTTGCCTTATTTTTATGCTTTGCTGTTTAAACCATATATTACATATTTGGTAAGCATCTCTCATATATTGAAAATATGACTTTTTATTAAAAAATGTATAATATATAATAGTTGCAAAATAAATTTATATGGCCATAATTAGTAGCAGGCACACCTGAGCATTTTGAGCATGACTGCCCAGACTCCTACATGGGTTCATATTTTTATATTTCATACTGAGCACAAAGTAAAAGTTCATTTCTTCTTTTAAACTCAAATGATACTTTGATACTATCTATAATTCCAGATAAGTTTGATCAATTATACCGTTAATGGTTTTCCTCTTATTAAAAGAATTGAATACAATAATGTGATTATTTCCCTCAGCAAAGAAAATAATTTCAAGCTATAAAAGCAGAGATAAACACTACATGTTCTTTGGATTAAGCCTGAAATCTGAAATGCAGTCTGTCAAGCTCTGCATGCATTCTTCCTAGGTTCCAAGATTTCCTTTAGATTCAAAGGGATGCTTACTTTTTTCATTTATGGCTTTTTCTTTCTCATCATTCATGTATTTTAAACGACTGATATCGAAATACATCTAGACTATAATCATGCTTTCAATACTGTTTTAACCCAATTTATGACCTACAATTTCATTAGAAAATATATTTTATTAAAAGTCTCCCTAGTAAAATGACAAGTAAATAAAAAGCCAAAATTAAAACCTACACATATGTATTTAAATATCAAGTACAAACTTCTGACAGAAAGTAATAGTTCTTATCTTTCACAAGTCAAAAATTATGTTCTTTGATGTAAATTTTGTAACTCATCAAGAAATGATGAGTAGAAATTGATATATACATAAATACATACATGATCTTATATATACATAGAGAAAGAAAGATGATTACAGTGGTGGGTCTCTCTGAGGGGACTAGGGGGAAGCAGGAGAGGAAAAGGGAATGATAGTGAATAATACCGAAATACATTGTATCTGTGTATGAAGATGGTAGAACAATCTGCATGAAAAGCAGCTGAATAACAGGGAGCAGGGCAACAGAGAAAGAATAAGCAATAAAGAGGATTAATCTGATTAAAATACAACATATGCATGTGAGATACCATGGCAAAACTCCCTTGAACATTCAATATATACTTTAAAAAATGAAGGACAGAAAAACAGGTTATAGGGGGGTTAGTACCAGCAGGATGGAGAACGATAAACGGAGAGGATGAGGAGGGTGAATACAGTCGGTATACTTTGTATGTACATGTATATACAAATAGACAATGAAATTGTTCCAAGAAGGGAATGGTGGGGATGAAGGACAATGATGGAGGAGTGAATCCAAGATACACTGTAAGCACACAGGTAAATGTCACAATGAATCTCCCTTGAATACATGCTAATAAAAATGTTTTTAAAAAAATGTTATTTCAGTTTCTTGGATGGAGTTACACATCACTATCTCCTAGACGGGTAGCCTTTTCCTAAGGCTTGTCTGGCAAAGGGAAATCCTCAAACTCACCTATTACCTGTGTTTTAGGTAGGCCAGATAACATCTCCATATTTTAATTACCAGCACCCATCATCGGCATTCAGAACCATTATCTAATGGTTAGGGTTGCTAGACCTCAAGTGATGCAGTCCCCCCATCCCAGGAAAGTATAAAACCACATATACTAAGCCACCATTTTGGAGACTTTGCTGAAAATGTTTCTCTCCTCTGCCCCTTCTCCATACTTTATCCTTGCTAAAGTTCCACCTTGTCAGATTCCTTGTGAGACACCTTGAAATGAAAGTAGGAAGCTAGGGGAGCCCTCTCTTCCAGTAACACTACCCAGAATCCAGAAGATTAGATGAGGTGATTTAGGGTGCCTAGCACATAAGGGGCCCTCCGTAAACCCTTGTCTGTCTGGGCAAGCTTTCAAAGGAAAGTCCGTCTTGAAGGGACGGAGGGTTTCGTTGGAATTTCCTGCTTGTATCTGTTAAGGACTGGGAAAAGGGGGAGAAGAGAAAAACCAGGGCTATGTAACGCAGTCCTTAAACATTAGGTCTACAATGCATCTTAAGAAGAGTGAAAAAGTACAGCCTCCCTCCGCCGCTCTGCAGTTAGACCCGCGATTTCGCTTTAAATACCCGCGGGCCCGTCCCGCGGAGGGAGCCTCCGGAAGTGAAGCGCACTGCCACGAAGTCAGATTCTTCCGCTGAGCGGGGGCCCTCGCTCCAAGTGATTAGTACGCGGGTTCCACGGGTTTCCTCCTCTCTTGCTCCTCTCTCTCCACCTTAAGATCCCCTCGGCTCCAGCTCTTCGGTCATTGTCCCGGTGACCTTTTTGTCCGTCTTGACTTTAGGCTGGGCCTAGTTCTGCGTCCATAAAGCCACCGGGATCCGCCCCCGCTCCGTGACGCACTTCCGGCAACGCCGCGTAGGATTCGGAACCCGGCGGAAACGGGCTTGCGGTGCGACAACGGGGATGGATACGCTGGCGGTCATGATGCAGGCCCTCCTGACCCAGAACCATGCTTTACGTAGGGAGAACAACGAGCTCATGGACCAGGTGCGGCGCCTGTTGTGCGAGAAAGCCAACCTGCTGGCGCAGGTGCGTCCGCCGGTCTGCCCGGTAGCTTTCCCCGAAACGTTTGACGGCGACTCCGCCCGACTTCCCGAGTTTTTGATCCAAGCGGCCTCTTACATGAACTTTTTCCAGGCCAGATTCTCCAGCGATACCCTGAAGGTGGCGTTTCTAATCAGCCGCCTGACGGGGCCGGCAGAGCAGTGGGTGGTCCCCTACATCGAGAGAGAGAACCCCATCCTGACTCAGTACGAGGGTTTCGTGGACGCACTCAAGCGGGCCTTCGGCAGGGATGCATAGAAAGGCCCCAGCCACGCGCCACGTGACAAGGGGACAGCAGCGGCCCGCGCCTGCTTTGCTTGTCTTTGCTCCACAAATGGCTTCGCAGCTCGAAGCTGCTGGACCCTACTGCTCGCCCCAACCCCAGCGCTTTTGCACCGCCTCGCAGCCCACTTCTTGCCTGGGGACCTGTATGAAGTTAAAATAACCCTAAATCACAACCCTGGCCATCTCCGACGACTGCTTCTGATCCCTTGAAAATCAGAGCCAACTTAGGGAGGACCTGATGGTGTCTGTCAAACCTCTTGGACGCTGATTTGACTAGCTTGGGCCCTGAGCTTCTAGGGTCAAAAAACATTGATAATGGAGATGGGACAGTGTTTGACTTGTGTCCACTTGGTTTTATATCCTTATACTAAATAGAGTATTAGCTCCCTCTTTTTAAGTAAGTCATTTTGCAATTTAAAGCTGCAGTTTTCTCTTCATTAAAGACATTTACTAGATTGTTGAAGTTTGGTTTGAAGTTCTGTTATTCTCTTTTATGGGGCCAAAGAAGGCAAGAAAGAGGAGGATTTGTGACCTCTTCTTAAGCAGTTTTTCTTAAAAGCCTCTAAGGAAAATCTGTAACTGCCTTTCTTGAAATGTTCATGCGTTTGCCATTGGATGGTCACTGTGTTCTTGAATTCCTAAAGTGAGTTAAACTGATAACTACTTCCTTTGTGGACAATTTATGCACCTGGGAGGATCATGAGGGGAAATAAACACTATGTTTTTGCAAGGGTTGATTTATACACAGGTTATAGTAGTTATTTTATGCCCAGTTAGCATTAGAAAAGTTCCAGTCTCAGCCCCCCCAGCATGACCCTGTATGTACCACATTTTTGCAGCACACATTCTTTTTTTTTTTTTTCATTTTTCTTTTATTATTCATATGT